TGGGACAGATTACATCTTCTTTGCAGGACAGTTGTGAAGATTACACGAACGAGTGTAGGCACAACCACGTGCCATGCTTGGTGCATGGTAGATGCTCACTAAGCCAGCAGCTATTCTGTGTTGGGTTGTCTCCCCAGGGGATCTAAATAGCTTGTGACATGAGGTGAGGTACTCATCAGGAAAATCATGCCATCTTAAAACTCGCAATATAAGATACAAATTAGCTAGCCCTCATTATAGTTCTCTATTGTTACTGATTAAAATAAATAAGTAGCTACACATGACCTCATGGAATCTTCCTAACATCCTAGGGAGAGAGGTATTGCCAACTCAATTTATAGATGCAGAAACTGTACTGCAGAAGCTTAGTGGCTGGTCTGCGGTCATATTGTAGTAGCTCCTCGTGGCAGAGGCAGAATTAGAACCCACGCATGGGCAGGACACCAGCACCCCCGTGTCCCCTCCCCCACCCCCATCCTTCTCAGCCTGCTTCTCGGCTCTGCCTGGACCCGGGGCATCTCACTGCAGCAAGGCCTGCCCTCAAAGCTTTGCAGGCACCAGTGTATAAACGACCAGTTCCAGCAAAAGTGACTCCTGACTTGGAGTCATTTTCCATATTTCAAAAAGCCACCCTAAAAACATACATTTTTCTCTTGATGAAGCCTGAAAGATGAACTAAAATGCAGGGTTCCATGGATTTAAGCTGAAGTTGTGTACGTCAACTCTCCGTGGTAATACCGGTTATTTCAACGTAAGTAGAAACTCCAATGGGTGGTGCCTCACATCTTTGATGAACAAAAATGGGAAATATAAACAAGATGGCCTATTTTCCAGTAAAAGTCCAACCTGAACTCCATGGGAGAAATAAAAAATGCCCTTTGTGATGAAAAGTCTGGGAATCACTGTGTGAAAAGGAAAGAGCAGGAATCCTGGAATGTCGGGCACAAAACCACGGGCGCCCGAGGAGCCGGGGAGAAGGGCCATGGTGGGGAAACATTGGGGAACACGGCCCCGCCCAGTGCCTGTGGAGTGCACATGCCACGTCTGTCACATGTGTTCCTAGCCCCGGACCAGAGTTGATGGGACATTCTAGACTTCCTCATCTGTAAGCAGTTGAGAAACCGCTAACTTGTGTGACTGGGTCAATATAACGAGCTGGGTCAGCCAAGCCCTTCTTCTCTGGGAAACCAGAATTACGGCCCTGAGAGGCGGAGGCAGTCTCAGAAGAGGCAGAAGACAGGAGGTCGCGTGAGAAGTCCCCTAGTGGCCACCGCGTGGCTGGAGTTGTGGGGGGATGAAAACTCCACGGTGGGCAGGGAAGTCAGTAACCCACAGAGCAAAGCACAGGTGTGGACAGGAGGAAGCACGGCCTGGGGAGCGTTCCTGGGGGGGGCCCAGGCCAGCCCTAGCTCCTGGGACCCAGAGAAACCACACCAGTCCTTGTCTTTGAATTTCCTGGAATTCCTGTTGTGTTTTACAGCGAATCCCACTTGCTCCAGCTAGTTCAAGTGGTCTCTCTTACTGGCACACAAATGGGCCTGATTAGACCAGACCTTCTGAGTCTGTGGGGAAACACACTTAAAAATCACATCACGGATACCATGGCTGATATGCCCTAGTCGACTGGGCATTGTCCCACAAACCGAAAGGTCACCAGTTCAATTCCCAGTGGGGGCACATGCTTGGGGTCCTGGTTGGTCCAGGCTGGGGCACATTCGGAAGGTAACCAATCAGTGTTTCTCTCTCTCTCTCTCCCTTCTCCTCTCTGTAAAACAAAAAATAAAACAAACTTTAAAAAATCCCATCACAGAGTCATTCTCTGCAGAAGAGATAAGATAGAAACTGAGCTAAATTCTTTATAAATCTAAAATGATGTATATTCCATGTCTGGTGGAGTTAGAAAGCCCACTGGGGAAGTAGCGATGGAATTTCCAGGAAAATGCTGCCCCAGAGCAGAGAGAAGAGCCCGTGGGGCGTGGCCCTGGAAGTCCCTCGTGCCAGAGATAAATAATCACCACCCTACCAGCCAGATTCTACCGCCGGCTGTTGCTCTTCGTATCCATCTTCTCCCTGCTCTCTCTGCACTGTGATGGATTGAAGGATTTGGCCCTGTTACCTGTGACCATGTGGCTGGGTTTTCGACTATTGAAATATGAGCAGAAGAGATTAAGTGCTGCGTTTCCATGGGTGTATGTCACTTTCCCTTTCCTGGCAGCTGCCACCTCGGCCATGTCGTGCAGTTGGGGACTGCACACTAGGGCGGTGCTAATTAGGTGTGGCCCATGTACCCGTGGCTCCTTCTTGAATACTTCGGTACTCACCCAGGGCAAGACAAAGAGTTTGTGCTGGAACACAAGTCACTAAAACCATTGTTTAGTTCTGCTGAGGTTTGTGTCCATAGGAAGGGGTCCTCATTGAAGGAAGGGGTCCTTAATGAAGGAAGGGATCCTTATTGAAGGAAGCGGTGCATTGATGTCCATGCTGGGGCAAGCCCCCTATCTTCTCAAGGACCAGCCCTTTGAGGCACAGGGCCCCGGGGAATAGCAGAGACACAAGAATGAGCAGGGAATGAACCCAGGTTTCTGAGTATACGTGTGGGACACAGTTGCCTGCCAACCAAGAACACGTGCCCTGGACCACAATGAAAGAGAGAAACAAACCTCTTTCTTGAATGCGCCACTGCATTGCGAGCTTTCTGTTCTGTGGCAGTTTAGCTCCCCCTTAACGAAGTCGGTGGGGCAGGTCATCTCTGGCAGGGCTGTGGTGAAGATTCCAGAAATGATGAGAGAAGGACACCCAGCCAGGGTCTACTGGGGCTTGTTCAGTGCTGGCCGAATCAAACACGCATTGGTTTCTTTCCCTAACTGGTAACAGTTCATTGTCTGGTCTGGACTGGGGAGGGGCCAATGCAGCCATTCACATCTACTGTGTCCCTTCTCTGGGCCTGGGACTGGGACAGGCACTGTGGACGCAGCCTTGAGCAACACTGCCGCAGTCGCTGCCCTTACAGGGTACCAAAGGAAGTCAAAAGTCATTCGAGACTCGGTGCAGAAAGCCTGGGGGCTGGGGTGCTTGCAGCAAGAGCTGAGGTCAATGGAGGGACCTGGGGGCCTCCTGGCCTGCCGTAGACACACACGGGCACACACACAGTGAATTGCTTGAATTAGCAGAATTGTGTTCTCCAAAGCATTGTTCCCACCTGCTAACTTACTGACAGTGGTTTTTCCTCAGTCTCATGGGACAGAAATGTAAAGATTCTAAAATAATGTTGATTAAACTAAGGGGAAAGGACATTTATTTCTACAACGTCATCTCGATAGGTCTGGGTTTAACGCCCCTCTAAAGGAAACAGGCGCAAATGCCACCACCGCCCCCTTCAGTCTCCTCAGGGATGACCAGCATCCCGGGAAATGTCGGGGTTGCCGTAGTTGGCTCTATGGGTTGTGTAAAGAAGACACTGAGACCTGGCATTTCTCGGGTTCGTTGTTCATTTGTCAGATTCTCACCAAGCACCCCTCTGATCCAGGCTCTCTGCTGGCCCACAGAGAAACAAGGCCAAGTCCCTGTGCTTAAGCAAGCTCATGGCCAAGTGGGAGGCAGGAGCCCACGGGTGGTCTCATCACAGGGCAGCACCTGCTTCCTGAGCCCCAGGAGGTGAGGCTGAGGCTGGACCCCAGCAGGATGGAGGCTGGGCTGGTTGTGGACTTTCTCCTTTTGGTTTTCATTTGATGTTACTGTTTCCTTGGCCACTCACAGTGATCTTGAAATCAGCATTTTTTTTGTTTTTTTTTACGTTTTAGCCAGGCACGTGCATGGAAATACTTCTGAGCCCGAGTATTCAGTCATGCAAGGTGCATGTGTAACCATCTAAGAATGGCACACAGGCATCGAATCGCCAGATATCCCCAAAAAACCCTACGAGTTCAGTTTCCTCGGTATCAACCCCAGCACTGACATGCAGTACCCAGGCCCACCAGAGAGACAGTTCACTAGAACTGGTGAGGAATAACAGGCCTGCAGGAGCACGCAGATCCACCCCCAGCTCTGGCAGCCGGAGGCGCCGCAGCATCCTACCAGCTTCTGTTTATTGTGCCATTGCTATGGTGCCCATCCCCTGGTATCCATGACACTGAGAACACAGGAGGCTGGGGCCTGTGACCACTTCACATCCCGGAACAGAAGGAGCCGAGGGAAGTTGGGCAACTCTGGAGAGGTGTGTGAATAGCCGCTGAGGAACAGTGAGTGGGCTTTCTGGTAGACGCAGCCAGGGACATTTGCATCAACATTTCCTCTATTACATGGACGCAATATGCTTATGAAAGGAGCCAGATGTGTAGGACGACTCTCCTTCCTGTCCCGCCCTCCATCTCCATCCACGTCCAAGTGGGCCGGGGCACCTCGAACACCCGGCTGGTGGTGCTGGTGGTGTTGGTGAGAGGGACTGGGGTGGAGGGCGGGGAGAGACAAGCGTCTGGAGGCCTGTGTGTGGGCTGGGACCGAGAAGAGGGCCAGGGTCCACCGAGTGGAAAACGTCTGAGAGCCCGAAGTCTCTGCAGTCCCGGCTCCAACCCTCTTCCAGCAAAGCTGGACCAAACACAATTCATCCTTTGCATTCGCCCCTCTGCAGCCCCCGCCGCTGCGATCGGGCCCCAGCGCCACCCGCTCCCCCTCGTGGGATGGAAAGGCAGCTAACAGGGAGGCGCCCTGGTGAGGCTAGAGAGGGAGGAATTCTCTAAATTGTGTTGGAGCGAAGGCGTCGAGGATGGGGAGCATTAATCTAATGTGGGGGAGGCCGAGGGACAATGTACACGCAGCCTTTTCATTCACCGGCGGGAAGATGGATGCTTTTCGGGGACGGTTGTCCGGGCGCTCTGGCTCGCGGTATGGACACGTCAGAGCGCTCCGGTCCACCGTGGAGGAGTCCCCGGCCCCCCCGCCCGGGGCTCGCGTATAAAGTGGGGGCCTGGCGGAGGCTGCAGCAGTGGCGCGGACGGCGGCGGCAGAGATCCTCCGGGTCCTGTCCTGCGGTCGCTTCTTGGCTGGGAGAGCGCACTCTCCACCCAGCCTCGCGGCGCGCTCCCCGGACTTCCCGTCGGGACCATGCGCGGCCGTGAGCTGTCGCTCGTCCTGCTGGTGCTGGTCCTCTGCCAGGCACCCCGGGGACCCGCTGCCCCGGTGCCGGCGGCCAGAGAGGCTGTGCTGACCAAGATGTACCCGCGAGGCAACCACTGGGCGGTGGGTGAGTGTCCGGCACGCACTAGTCCTCCGCGGGACCAGCCAGAGCTGGGGGCTGCCTCTCCATCTCTCAGCATTTCTGGGGCCCGGCTTTGGGGACTGGGTTTGCTCCGATCTTCGACCCCAACACCAACCCCTTTCTCCCGCAATTCTGCCCCACCCTTCCCCATCCTGGGAAGCCGCCAGCCTCTCAGCGGCAGCAGGCTGGTCCTGGTCCCTAGGTCTTCCCTCTTCCCCGGGTAACCGAGCCAGCGCGCAGCTGTCCAAAAACTCCCAGCTCTAGTCGAGGAAGATTACCTTCCCTCCGCACCTCCCCAAACCCTCTTTTTGTCCTGCGCTGTTCTCTCCCTGAACAACTTAGGAAACGCGCGGTCTTCGAGCGCCTTTCAGAGCCCCGGTCCAGCCCGGCGGCCTCGACTCCATCCCGTGTGAACCCAGGCTGCGCCTTTGCGTCTGGAGAAGCCACAGGTGGGGGACCGGTGGCGCGCGCGCCCGCCCTGGGTTTCAAATGTGTTCCCGGAGCAGTGCCCGAATCCACCACCGTGGCTCCTCTGAGTTTTCTCAGTCCCTCTCCTGCCTCTGTGGCGATTGTTTTTTTCTCTGCCCTTCTGCCCAACCCTCCATCTTTCTATCTGGCAGGCTCGGTGCTCCGGGGATCGCGCCCGCTCTGCACCCGGATCCCGGCCTCTCTGTTCCCACAGCCCCACTCCGCCGCACCTCTCTACACAGGCGACCTCACCCGCTCCCCGGGCCCCTTCCCCTTTTCCTCTGCCAACCAGTCCTGTCCCCCAGGCACAGCCTGACGGTTCGCTCTTCCCGGCCCCAGGACCCCCAGCGGGTAACTGGAAAGCAGGTAGTGGTTCCAAAGCCTCGCGCTCACCCAGCGTCACCCTGGGGCTCTCCGCCCACGCCAAATATAACCTCTCGCGAATGCAAAGCGCTCAATTTCCTCAGAAACCTCCCCAGAAAGCCAACTACAGCAACCCCGACATTTCCTGGGATGCTGGCCATCCCCGGGGAGATTTAAGGGGAGCGGTGGTGGCGTTTGTGTCTGTTTCCTTGGTCATCTACTTCAGAGTGGGGGAGGTGTGTCGGAAAGATAGTTGCTAGTCCGCGTGTATCAGCCGAACCCGTGACAGTCAGCCACACAGCCTCTCTGTGCGATGTCCCTGCGAACTCATGGAAGGGGGTGAGGCTGGAACTGTCACTCCCTCAGCTTTTCCGTGCTGTGCACACTTCTCTCAGAGGACTGGGAAGCTCCTGATGGCAGCAGCTGTGTTCATGGTCGCTGAAGGGGTCTGGCGCAGTCTCAGTGATGAGAGCGTTAGTGATCTGGGAGGGACACGGGAATTCAGGCCTGGGCCAGAAGAAGGGCGGTGGGGACCGAAGTTAAAGGAACACAACAACAACAGCAAAAATCCATCCTCAGGATGTTAACAAAGCCACACCGAGACTTGATACTTGAAAGAGCTTTTGGGACCTTAGAGGGAGTGGCCATTGTCCACTCCAGCCACCAGCTGGTGGGCTGGGAAGGTGAAGTGAAACTTCCAGATTTCCAACCTCTTTTTGCTCATCCATAGTTTTTGTACTAAAAAGGCTCTCTTGCCCTGGCTGGTGTGGCTCAGTGGTTTGAGTGCTGGCCTTCCAACCAAAACGTTGTGGATTTGATTCCTGGTCAGGGCACATGCCTGGGTTGTAGGCCAAGTCCCCAGTGCAGGGCACTCAAGAGGCAACCACACATCGATGTTTCTCTCCCTTCCTTTCTCCCTTCCTTTCCCTCTCTAAATATAAATAAATAACTAAAACATTTTATTAAAAAGTCTCTGTTATTAGGTAACCCTCGCAGGTCAAAGGGAGGACAAGAGAGTTACCTGGGGAGCTGCAGCCATGTTGTTCCCGGGGTAAACCAACCCCAGTTGCCATAGTTCCAGAGCACACCTGGCCCAGATACTTAGCGATCACTCCTGGTGATGCTTGGGCATTTCTTACCCCAAAGCACATGGGCCCGTCAGAGCCTTACATTTTCTTATTGCTCCTAATCACACTCTTCTTCCTCTTTCTCCCTTGGCTGGCTCTGTAGAGTTGAGGAAAGCGGGAGGAGAAGGAGCAGAAACTCACGTTGGGGTCTAAAATGACATTTGAGCAAAAGTTGGCTTTGGGGAGAGCGTTCACAAACCTGAATAATGTTTGCTTTGAAATGTAGCTTGTCACTATCCTAAGTAAATGCCTGTCATCCTCAGTCATGGAGGACATGCCGTTTCATTTTAATTATTTTCAAACTAAAGCTTTGCATTGCTGTTGGCACAAATTTGCCGGTTTGTTAAGTGAATTACTTCTCTCTGTTGAGAGAAGCGTGGTGTGGCAATGGAATGCAAGTTATCAGATTGAAAATTGAACAGATTCTTGTCTGGCCTGGAGTTCTTGGAAGTGTGTGTGTGTGTGTGTGTGTGTGTGTGGATGATGGAAACGCACGTCGGCACCAGCCGTGGCAGTGGCTCTTACTTTGACGTGAGGCATGCCCTGCAATTCTGAACACCTGTGCGCAGCGCAGAATGGCTTGACATCATAGCACCACTCCAGCAACTGAAATATCGTTTAAGCGTCTTAGAAAAAGGAGCTCCTAGAACACTCAGCACTTTGTCTTAACTGGTCATTTCCTGAGTTAGGGTAATCTTCAAGTTTTGAGTTGAAGAGAAGTAATTTATGCTCCATTTTAGTGCTATTTTTTAACTGGTTATAAAGGACAAAAGCTCTTTTCCCCCTCTGGGCATGGTTTTATTTTTTCAAGGGCCTGTCTTTGTCTATGCTGAGGTCTCCATTATGATGATATGGACAGATAAAAAAAGATGATGGGAAAAGAGGCAGAAGTGGGCATATCATCCATGTTGCCATGGAGATGGTTATTTGGTTGACAGTTGCCAGCTCACCAGTGAAACAGGACCCAGGAATGTATGCTTCCCTGGGACATTATAGTTAGTGCCCTTTCCTTAGTGACCAGTCTATGGATCTGGGGGTGGGGGCCTGAATACTACCTACCCACCAAATATGCAAATACTAAAATTTTTAAAAAACGTCCCAAGGACCTATATTCAATCAGTCATAGAATGTTTTTTTAGCAAAGTCCACAAAATTATTCAGGCATGAGAAAAATGAAATTCTTTTTTGTAAAAGCATCTCCATTGCCCCTCTGTTTCATTGCTATAGTTCTCCTTTCTAGCACGCTAACAAGATGATAGGAAATGATGGTAGGCAAGGGCCACTGAGGTGATTACTGGGAGCATCGGGTTCTAATCCTGCTTCCCCCTTGTCATGATTCAATTTCCTCCATATAAATAAAGCCAAGTGCTTCGTTACCTCCTGGGAAGTTGTGCAACCTAATCACTGTTATGGATAAATGCAAGGTTATTTGTCGGATATCCGGGCACTGAGTTGACCAAGCTCTCGCACTGCTATGCAGTGAAATGTCATTTTACGTTTCCCCAATACTCACAGAATTAGTTATCTGAGTCACACAATGAATGAGTCATGGCACACGGATACGTGATCCTTATTTTTAAAATATTTTTTTCCTCACCTGAGGACATTTTTTTCATTGCTTTTTTGAGAGAGAAAGAGAGAGAGAGAGTGGGGGAGAGACATTGATGTGAAAGAGAAACATTGATGGGTTGCCTTCCTTTATGCGCCATGAGCAGGGATTGAACCCTCAAGCTGGGTATGTGCTCTGACCCGCAATTGCAACTGTGACCTTTTAGGCTACGGGAGGGTGCTCCAACCAAGTGAGCCACACGGGCCAGGACTATGATCTCTATTTTAAAAAATAACATTAGAAAGCCTTTTGTGGACCTTATCCTTATTTCCAGACCCCAGGATGATTCCTAGGAAGTTCAAAGACTTCAAAGCATTATAATGTAGTAGAGTCTGGACTGTGAGCTGATTTTAATCCTAGTATCTTTGCTTATGTGTATGTGACCTTTGGCGAGTCTCATTGTCATCAGACTTACTACGGAGTGGATCCAATGGGATGATCTGCATTTAAACATCCTGGAAACAGTGCCTTGTAATCACCTGCCGGCAGTGAAGTCACGGTGAGGGCCTCTCTTGGTGTAGAGAGCTGCCGGGAAGGGACCCTTTTCTATTTTGTGTGACTGACGTCTGTCAGACATTATTCCCATGATATTTGCCTTAAATACTTCTCATGCCAGTCAACGTTGGAGCCACAGAGAGCTCCTACTGGGTGGACTTTAAATCAAAAGCACTATAGTTTCATTAGTATCAGAAATCTGAAAGTACTATAATAGCTGATTATGGAAAGATGAAAAAAATCAATTGAAGAGAGCATATAAAACAATGTGAGTATATCTGAGCAACAGGCTAAAGTGTGACCTTGAACTCCCCAGCTCCTTCGACTTGGTAGCTGTCTCCACTGCATACATGAGTCTGTGTTTCTAGTGGTTGGGCCTTCTGCACAGCAACTTCTATTCACTTACGTGGAGCCTCTGATAGACGTTTGCTGACCATTTTAGACCAAGAGAAAATGCTGCACTCACTGATGTGCCCAGTCAGAACTCGTCTTCAACTGATTTTTCATTACTTGCTTTACAAACTGTAATTTCTAGGTGATGCTCTGCCTAGATTCAACCTTGGCTACATTCTGAGAAAGTTGAAATGAAAAATTCCTTTAGTACATTTGTATTACAGATAAGAGATAAGCAACACCTTTCTTTCTTTCTTTTTTTAATCGCACAAAGAAAAGCATCGAGACCTTTCTTTTCAGTAGCAATTTCCAATTGGCTGGGGGAAGGTGTTTAAATTCCACCATTCAGTTGGGAATAGGACACAGAGCACACAGAATTGGTGATAGAATTTCAGACGCGGATTTCACCTAGTCCAACCTGTTCATTTTGGATTTGAGAAATTGAAGACTGGGGACGCTAAATGACAGGGCAGAGGTCACCCAGTTCGTTAGCAGAGGGGCTGCGACCAAAGCCAGGGCTCCTGAGTTGCAGGTCTGAATTTTGCCCAGCTCATTTTGCATTTTGAACAGAAAGCAAAAGCCCGTCATTTCTGAACTAACTCTTTGTAATAAAATGCTATTTATTCTGCATTTAAGTGGAAGCAGCACAAACATAATTGGAGCCCTTTTAAATTTCTCGTTCATTTATTCCTCTGGGTCAAATTTGTGGCGTTCTGTTTGTGTTTCTTGGTTTTTACAGGGCACTTGATGGGGAAAAAGAGCACGGCAGAATCCGCGTATGTTGACGAGGGAGGCAGCCTGAAGCACCGGCTGCGGGCGTACATTCTGTGGGAAGAGGCTGCGAGGAATTTGCTAAACCTCCTGGAGGGAAAGGGAACCCCAAGCCACCGGTCGCCTCCAGGGGGCGCCCCTGGGTATTCTCCAGTCTACTTGGGATTCCGAGGATAGCAGCAACTTGAGAGCTGTGGGTTCAAGACCCGAAGGTATAAAAAATCTGCTGGGGAAGATGGGGTGGGAGTGGGAGGTGCTTGGGGAGAGTTGAAAGGAGGGGAGGGTCCTGCAGGGAAGAATAAAGTTGTTTACCATGCAAGCCTTCACAGCCACTACACTACATTAGCCTGACACCAGTACACACTAAGGAAATTAGTAAACAATTGCCACCCCATCTTCACTTTTTGACGTTAATATATTATTTTTCCTCTTAGCACATCAATGCTGTTGGTTCGGAACTCCAGTTTAGGGGGTTTTCTTTTCTAAGATTTTGTTTATTTATCTTTAGAGGGGAAGGGGGGAAGGAGGGGAAGGGGGGAAGGAGAGAGGGAGAGAAACGTCAATGTATGGTTGCCTTTTGCGCGTCCCCTGCTGGGAACTGGCCTGCAAGGAACCGTCCTGCAACCCAGGCATGTGCCCTGACTGGGAATCGAACCGCGATTGTCTGGTTTGCAGGCCCGCGCTCAATCCACTGAGCTGCACCAGCCAGGGCAAGGGGGGTTTTCGAGCAGTTGTGTGTATTGGCAACTGAGCATTGATGGGGTGTGTCTGTAATCTGCCAGGCCCGACCAGGACATCTCGACAGTGAGGCTGTAGTTGAGTAAATCCTCGTGGGTCTGCAGATATGGTTTACCTTTGACGGGCACTTGAGGAAGAGCCTCTTTGTAGATGTTTTTAGAAGACAGGGTTCTCATTTGTGACCTTTTATGCAAATGTCCCAAGTCTGGATTTCATCCTAATATGGCAAAACTTGGTGAACATACCTGAGGGCAACTGATTTGTCCTGCAAATGATTGTATGGAAGATGAGGAAAAGCAGTCTACCAAACTGGCATTGTTTAGACACAAGGACAGTAAACAAGTGAAAACAAAGAATAAAATGTATGGGAAGAAGATGAAGGAGCAGAAAATTAAGAGATTCTATGAACTGTTAAGAAACTTTCATAAAATTTATGATAAAAGGCAAAAACAATTGGAACAGAAATAATAATAATAATAATAATAATAATAATAATAATACGTAACTTTATGGAGTGGTTACCTATGCCCCAAGCACTGGGAAAAGCCACTTGCCTCCTTTTTTGCCTGTCAATGCGTGCGTCAGTCTGAGAGGGGAGACGTAGGAAGGTTCTGTTATTCTCTCCACCACAGAGTCTCGGCGAGGAAACTGAGGCAGTCACACAGCTTTTCACTGGTGAAACTGGGACAAGAGCCCATGCTGTCTGCCTGGACACTGTGCCACCAGGACAGACACCTGCTGGGGCCGGGTCCGTGGTGATGTTATAGGGGGAGGACGCGGACACAGGACGCAGTAGCGCCTTGCTGCTTGAACTTCTGATGAGAAACAGCACTGCTGTCACCCACGGAGCTTGGGGAGCGGCTCCTTCCCTTTTCGTGGGGCTGACTCTCTGACGGACAGCCCTTCCGCAGGCTGGGGCTGGCTCTGCCAACCTTCAGCTTCCTCTCCGGAGGGAGGTTCTGTGCCTCCCCTGGGGAGTCTTTAGGCTAAACTCAAACTCAAACTCAAAACTCATTTCATGCATTAGGCAGTGTCTCTACAAGAAAGACTGAGAAGAAAAAAAAAATCTGGATTAAATCAACCAACACAGAAATAGATAACAATTCCATTTGAAGCCCTGAGTGGGTCTCTTGCCCACACCTGTATGATAGGGATCACAGGTGGCATGTGACCAGCTCCCCTCCTTTTTTGGTGGGTCACAGGGCTTCGAGGGCCCCAGGTATTTGTGATTGACTTCTTAGCTTTTGGCTGGCCAAGGCTTTTTTTGGTCAAGTGCTTTGCAGGACATCCTGTGGATGAATGGCCAACAGCAGTGCCTTCTCTTTTGTCTGAAGAATAATGCCAATCACCATCCAAAAGCTCTCTAAAATAGTTTTACAAACACTGACATGGACTTGCCTTCATAGGTCACTCATAAAACATACACACAATCATGGTATTAATCAGTAGTGCCTCGCTTTGAACTCAACAGCACTCTCCCAAACCTGGCTTTGCATAACTTCGGGCTGTTAGGAAAATTCAACTCCTTCCTCAAGGATGGAGACCTCCACACCATATTCAGAAGACTATTCTTCTGTAAGCTTGGAGGCAGGTATAAGAGAATAGCTACCATAAGGTCTCTGAGCGGCAGCAGTGTGGGATGGATTGAGTGGACTGTCAGACAGTGAATGCTTTAAGGGGATACCATTATCAGTTGTCAACGTGACCTGAAAAGTCATCTTTGTACAATCAGGCCTTGCTTTTCTACTACATCTTATTATGCCTCGTTCTTCTTGTTACAAGTTTAGAAAGTCCATTCTGTTTCATTCCTGTTCAAGTTGAGTAATTAGCTATTGCAAACATTGGTACTGTCTGTCCTTTTGAATGTATCTCCTGGTAACATGAAAAGTGAATTCAGTTAGTTTTGTATCTGCACGGACCAAAACACCTTGTCATTCCCTTGGCCTTGGAAATCCCACCCCCAGTGAAAGTATGTTGTCCTAAAGATTATGAACATCTTACAGTTGTTTTATTCACAAAGAGGGCATAACAAAAGAATAGTTTGTATTAGGAATTCATGTGTCTCTGGGTGTTTGAAAGAAGCTTAATAACTTCCCCAGGCATTGCCAGAATTAGCAACAGGACTTCTCAGAAGCTGAAGAGCTTTTCTTAAAATGAAAAACCATCCACATATGCTCGCCTCTCCCACTTTAGACATGAGACGTCAAGTCCAGCCGCCAACTCTCCCAGAGCTGTAGTTAGAAGCGCTAAGGGTCTTCCTGCGTTTTGATGGTGAAGTTATTGACTCAGTTCAGAAAAGGTCTGTGCAAATGTGCACTGGATCTAGATGGCATGGCAAACAAGCTCCAAAACTTTACCAGCATTTATGAACAATCGTTTTCAAGGTTCATTTAGTTTTCTTTGAACTGCACCCTTCTTACAAAAATGAGTGGAACTTCACCCTATGGTTTCCATGACAGGGGTCAGTGTTTTGGTCCAGGAGGTTTATAATCCTGCATGCAGTTGTGGGTTGTGCTGAGTTTCAACAGAGGTTGAAGTTGGCCTTTGGGTTCCTCTGGTCATTTGACAAAGTCCATTGTTCTTTGCAGCCTTAGATTTTCCTCCTCTTATTTGGTGGACAGGGAAGAGTTCTAGGGAATGTGTTTCCAAGGTCATCCTGGAAAAGAAGGAAATGAGCAAGTTTGCCCTCACTTTCCAGGGACTGCTAGCACTGTCCCGTGACATCAGTGTGGAGAATAGAAAGGAGTTAGCTATTAATACGTGATCTACTTGAAAGGAAGCTCCGAATATAGGAAAAGCAACCTGCAACCAAGAATCACTAACAATCCTCTAATTACCCTGACAGTTTCTATGAAAGAACAGAGGAATGTGCCCCATCCTGGCTCCTCCCCCTCATCCCCCTCCTGCCTCTAGGTCCTTGATCTTCTTGGGATGCACAATTCTTCTTTCCCTTATAGCCTGATCTCCTCTCCCTTGAGCCAAACTGCTCTGATTCTGTATTTTCTGCCAGGGGGAGGACTTCTATAGATCCTTTCCTACATCATCAGCTGGCCCCTTTTGTGACCTGCAGCTCATAATGCCAGATGCATGGCAGCACCTACAGGCAGGTGGGCAATGCTTAATAGTGCATCCTGGGCTCATGGAGGAGAGCAAAAAAAATTGGCTTGTGTGGGACTCAAACCCCAGGCCCTGGCCTCATTAGCACCTGGCCAAGACAACTGAGCCATAGAGCAGATAATAACCGGTTTGAGAAAATCAGTGGTTCCTTTCTTAGGAACAAGTGGCTAGCCTAGGTGTTGGGGAACCGGAATTGCTAGCATTATGCTCTTGAAAAGTATAATAAGCTCTAGTTTAGATGAAAAGTGTTTCCCCGTCTCACTGGGTAAAGGCTACTGTATGAAAACAAAGAAGTATTTTGATTTAATTTTTAAAACTTCTTATTTATTTTAAATTGTTGTTCGAGTACAGTTTTCTGTCTTTTACTCCCACCCCGGCCCACTCACCCAGCCCTCCCCACCTCCCTCTCGTTTCCACCCCCCCTAGTTTTTGTCCAGGTGTCCCTTATACTTGTTCCTGTAAACCCTTTCCCTTTTCCCCTGAAATTCCCTCCCCTCTCCCTTCTGGTCCCTGTCAGCCTGTTCTCTATTTTAGTGTCTTTGGTTATATTTTGCTTGTTTGTTTGTTTTGTTGTTTAGGTCCTGTTAAAGGTGAGATCATATGGTATTTGTCTTTTACCACCTGGCTTATTTCACTCAGTATAATGCTTTCCAGTTCCATCCATGTTGTTGCAAAGGGTAGGAGCTCCTTCCTTCTTTCTGCTGCAGAGAATTCCATTGTGTAAATGTACTATAGTTTTTGATACATTCATTTACTGATGGGCATCTAGGTTGCTTCCAGCCCTTGGCTATTGTCAATTGTGCTGCTATGAACATTAGGGTGCATAAGTCCTTTTGGATTGGTGTTTCAGGGTTCTTAGGATACAATCCCAGCAGTGGAATTGCTGGGTCAAAAGGCAGTTCCATTTTCAGTTTTCTGAGAAGATTCCATACTGTTTTCCATAGTGGTTGTACCAGTCTGCAATCTCACCAACAGTGCACTAGAGTCCCCTTTTCCCCACAACCTCTCCAACACTTGTTGTTTGTTGCTTTGTTTATGATGGCCATTCCGACCGGTATAAAGTGGTGTGTCACTGTGGTTTTAATTTGCATCTCTCTAATGGCTAGCTATACTGAGCATCTTTTCATGTGTCTCTGGATCCTCTGTACGTCCTCCTCGGAGATGTGTCTGTTCAAGTCCTTTGCCCACTTTTTAATTGGGTTGCTTGTCTTCTGAGAGTGGAGTCATGTAAGTTCTTTGTATATTTTGGAGATTAAGCCCTTGTCTGAGGTATCATTGGCAAATATGTTTTCCCATGTAGTTGGTTCTCTTTTTATTTTGATACTGTTTTCTTTAGCTGTGCATAGCTTTTTATTTTGATTAGGTCCCATTTGTTTATTCTTTGCTTTATGTCCCTTGCTCTAGGGGACATATCAGTAAAAATGTTGCTGTGTGAAATATCTGAGATTTTCTTGCCAATGTTCTCCTCTAGGACTTTAATGGTGTCACGGCTTATATTTAAGTCTTTTATTCACCTTGAATTTATTTTTGTGGATGGTGTGAGTTGGTGCTGGAGTTCATTTTTTGCATGTAGCTGTCCAGATCTCCCAACACCATTTGTTGGAAGAGGCTATCTTTACTCCATTTTATGTTGCTGCCCCCTTTGTCAAATATTAGTTGACCGTAGAGACTCGGGTTTATTTCTTGGCTCTCTGTAGAAGTATTTTTAAATTACAGCTTTCCTTCTTTCTCCAGTCTTAGCTAATTTGGACAATACACTTATAACTGGCAGAAGCCCAAATTACCTTCTCTCCCAAGTTGCCCATTCTACCAGTTTACAGTCATGGGTTTGTGGTGTGTAATTGTGTGACCCATAAACTAGCTTTGATTTGTGTAATGAGGTATTGCCCAGTGAGAACTAAAATTCCACATTCCCTCCCTACCCCACTCCTACTTTAGTAACAACTCCTGGGGGTAATATATTTAATTGCTAACATTAGTCAAAATATACCTGAGTCATATCAGAGTACAAGTTAAGCTAGTGTTTAAAAAAGGCCCCCAAATCTAGTGGCTCCCTAAAAAGAGGAAGTTCCTTTCTCTCTCCGGGATAGCTGTGGTCTCCAAGCATGTACATGCTCAGTCAGAATCACCCAGGGGCCCATGAAAGCCCAGATTACTGCCGCCCCCCTGTCCCCCCCCCCTCCGCCAGGTTTCAGTCTGGTGGGTCTGGGTGACCTAGGAGCTCATCTTTCTAACTAGTTCATGTGGTGCTGGTGGTTTGTTGGGAACGGATTTGCTTCCAGTGTCAGACTTTGGCATCACTAACCACATTTGTTTAAATCTTTCTCACTTTTTTTTTTACGTTGCTGATTTCTCTGCTCCAAACTCTCAACTTGAAGGAAGGAAACCCCAGCTGAATGACAATGACAATGACGGCCTCTCTCAAAGAAGCAAAACCCTTAAGAGACTTTGTTCCATGGGCAACGATTTCCCTGGATCAGCCACAAGATTTCCTTTGTGCAAAATACGTCACTATTCCTGTATCTTTTCACCTTGACTAAGTTTGTGGGTTTCAAGCAGCATCTTTTGGTTTCAATTTGTTTGCTGTGAACAGTTTGTCCATGAAGAGTCTTCCAGTTAATGCTCTCTGCATCTAGGCTATGTGTCCATTATATGCCAGTCCCCCACCTGTTACCATTCACAATAAATGCTTCAACACATTGTCCAAAGGGCAGGCGGTCCTCTTATTTCAATTCCAGATGAGAGGACAGTGTGACAGAGATTAATAAAAGAAACTTGATAATGAACTTGTGTGCTCATTGATGAGGGCAGGCTGAATTTTTAGTTCTCCCATGTGAAAGCAACTTACTGAATCCTTGTAGTGGCTTACAGACTTTCTAAATAGGGCTACTGCTAGAAGCTCGTGCTCTATTATTACCATCAGATGGACTGTAGACTGAGTTGAAGGTAGAGGCTGGCCTGATGCATCACTTAGTGGTTCCCATTTCTTCAGCCCCAGGCATGACCAGATATTTTGCCAAGGTTCTTGATATTATCCTCATAACAGTCTGATAAGCTGAGAATAAGCATTATCATTTAATTGGTAAGGAAACAGCCTTGGCTAGTGTGGCTTACTGGATCGAGTGCCAGCCTGAGAACCAAAGGGGCTGCCCATTTGATTTCCAGTCTAGGGCACATGCCTGGGTTGTGGACCAGATTCCCCAGTAGGTGGCGCGCAAGAGGCAACCACACATTGTGTTTCCCTCTCTTTCTCCCTTCCTTCCCTTCTCTAAAAATAAAGTCTTTTTAAAAAGAAAGAAAATCGAGGATTATATAAGTCAAGTGACTTGCCCATGTGTCACATAGCAGATGGAACTGAGATTCAGACGCCTAAAGCCACCAGATTTTTCTGCACCATTTAACAGTTTCTTTATTACCATATTTTAAACCTCCCTTTGAGTTTATTTAAGTAGCACTGCTTCTTCAATATTTCATTTCTGGTCTTAAGTAGTTCCCGTAGCCAGATTTAGATCCGTGGCAAAAGGAGAAGATGAATTCAAGAGATTCCCTTCTGTGTTCAGAGAATGTGGACTGGTGGTTCGTGACACTCGCCAGTTCCACTTTGAGCATGGCCTTCACACGTCAGCAGATCGTAAATCTCTTTGCCACATGCGTGGATTTCCTTTGTCTAGGGAAATCACACGAGAAACTGTAAAGAGATTGATCTTGCTCCTGTGTTGATTGTCAAGATCCACATAAGATGTGACGCGTTCTAATGTCTTTTAAAAACATGTTGATTCGCAACTGAGATACAGAGCCAGACTCGGGGAAATATGTGAAGTGAGTTTCACTGATCACCTTCCACTTCCAGGGGCTGCCTGGGTATCTTTCCCAAGAACCCAGTCCTGAGCCGTGCCAATTAACATCTGCCATGCAGGCGATGATGAAGGGTAAGCCGCATCAGAAGGATTCGCCCTCCAACAGGACAGGCGTGGTAGTGGCATGCCCAGCAGTCTAGAATAACCCCATCTAGGCCACCACTTGTTCGGTTGTCTCAGGAGAGTTGACGTGACCCTGAGTTTTAGATGCAACCATTTACTTCTCCAGGAGTCCTGACTGAGAGCCCAGAACAGCTCACTGAAACCTGGCCTCAGGGAGCTGCTCAGTCCCAAGCCCAGGTCACGATCACCATGCCTTTATCGAAGAGCCTTGTTTGCAAGTGAAGTTCAGTCACACATGCGTGTACGCCTGTTGGGTCAGGCCATTTTCAGCTGCAGATTACAGGATGGATCCACCTAGGGTTAAGTGGGAAAGGAGCACTTTAGGAGAGGAAGTAGGCAGGGCAGACCAGGGATAGGGTCTCAAAGCTGGACTTGCAGGTTCTGAGCTCAAACCAGGCCTCTGCTTGGGTTGATGAGATGGCAATGTGTTCATGGCCACCACAAAAGCATTCCGTGTGACTGCTGGAGCCAGCATGGTCTGTCAAGGCCTCTGCCACAGCGTTGTATCCCCCAAATCCTCTTCCTCTCCTGGCTTTCTTCCAAATCAGCCTTCCGTCTGTGTCTAATTGGTAGAACCTGGATCACATGCCTGTATCTAGTGTGGGGAAAGCTGGGTAATATAGCTTTTTAAAGCCTCGCTTGAGGACTTTCTTTTTTATTGCTTTCAGAGAGAGAGTTGAGGGTGGAGGGGGGGAGAGAGAGAGAAACTTTGGTTGGCCACCTACTCAAACGCCCAGCAACCTGAGCACGTGTGCCAACCAGCATCAAACCCTCAACCCCTTAGTTCACAGGACAGCGCTCCTACCAACTGAGCCCCACCAGCCAGGGTGGAAAATGTAATTTTTAAGATTCTACTTTGGGAGGATAGGACTAAAATTGTGGGACTCTGTTAAAAAGAAGACAGGATGTTTAAAAGATGTGGTCAGCCACAAAGAACAGATGTCTTCTTCCACTTTTGCCACCCTCCAAAGAATTTGCTCATTGATTATTTTCCCCTTTGCTATTCTAGAGAACAGTTAACACCCAGCTTGGGATTCTGGGAAATCAGGGCCAGGTGTGTGCACACAGCAAGAAGAGAAGATTGTTTTTAGGAGGTAACAATATTTAGAAATCCTTGCAGTAAAGCTGAGTAATCAGGAGGGAGAATCCAAAAGGGAAGAAAGCAATAATCGCCTTCAGATTTGTTCCTTAAAGACATGGTTGCTTATTTGCTGTTTTGTTAAGTGCTATGGGCCATTTGGCAGTCTTTGCTTATGATCAGAGGTTCAGGGACACACCAAGCAGGCATTTCAAGTAGTGCAGTATAATTTCAAGTCCCACAAGGCCCACCTTTCCGTTCCTCCTGGAGTTATCATTCCAGAGCACTTTTCTTTTTTACCTAGCTCTGATGTGCAGGGAGTAATGGAAACAAAATGTGGAATTTACAGTCATTTTCTCGGCCACAGGCTGCTTTAATTAGACCCTGTGAAACCGCGCTTCCAGGGGAACCCACGACGATGAACTCCTGCCATTCCCAGAGCAAAGGGACCGCGGTCATCAGGCACACGGGAAACACTCCTGGCTTCGTCTCTTGGGGCTTCATGTTTTCCAATTAATCACTTCCTTAATTAGACATGAATAAAATGCAGAAACGTCTATTTCCCCCTGATTTTCCTTCCACTCTACTCAGCCCACAGACTTCCTACACCATGTAGCCTAACTGACGAGAGAGGCAGATCTAAGCACAGGTGGATCGAGGGAGCCTCCGGAATGAGAAGGAGCACCTTTCAGACCCTGACGCTGGAATCACGCGTCTCTGGTGGCCGTGGTTTTAGAGCACAAAGCACGCGCCCTGCCCTGATGTTTGAATTTGCTGTTGTGTTCTTGACATCATTAAATCACTCTGGTGAACGTTTCACTCCTGGCCCCCTTGGTGATCTCAAAGAAGGGATAAAACTATTGTCGTAGGTGGGGGCGGATGGAGGGAGCAGAGAACTGGGGCTGCATGGGGTCACTTTGGGCCATACCTCCAGGGCAAAGGCAGAAGAACCAGCCTCTCACACCAGCCTCCTCCATCTTCGCTCTCTCCTTGAAAAGACCAGACTCCTCCATGGCTTCACAAAGATTAATTTGCTGTCAGGGTGTGTGAATCAGCTGAGGGGAGAGGGTCCAAGTCCTGTTACTGTTTTATTGTTAAACTGTTAAAACAGAGCCTGCATCCCGATGAGAAGAAATGTTCATACGGCCAGATAAACAACAGCAGGTGGTTTCTTTCTTAAGTCTTTTTCTCCCTCGTCTCAAAGGTTTTGTTCTCTTTAATTACTCGGGTTTTTAGTCTCCAAGAGCATATGTTGTGTAAGAGTTGATGCCTCTCTTTCCTGCTTCCTCAGTTTCTTCATTTCTGAAATAAGAAACGAGACCTGTTGCTCTTCAAGGTCATCCAGGTAAAAATCATGAATTTTTCTCCCCTTTACATGTTTCCCAAGAGTGTTGTCTGGATTTTTTAAGTTCATCTTGTAAGAGATATTGAAATGTTAAAATTATACTTTGGCCTGGCCAGGTGGCTCAGTTGCTCAGAGCGCTGTCTCATACACCAAAAGGTTTGAGTTCAATTTCTGGTCAGGGCACACACCTAGGTTGTGAGTTCCATCCCTCGTCCGGGTGAGTACAGGAGGCAACCCACCGATGCTTCCCTCTCACTTGATGTCTCTCTCTCTCCCTTCCTCTCTCTCTAAAATCAATAAACATATCCTAGGGTGAGCGTTAAAAAAATGACACTCTGGGCATGATTCCATATCATTTGTATTTTGAAAAATCCTCTTTGGTCTCCTAACTTATTTGATTCTAAGAGTTGTTTTAATGTGTATGTTTAAATACAAAAATCTACCCTGATATTATTTAGTTTAATATTTCCAAATATGGGATTTCCCCTCCTGACTTATACTGATGGTGGACAACCCAGACCTTCTCCTGTGGGGAAATGGGGGCACTTTTGAGTTCTATGTTTATTAGAAATTGCATTTGGACATACATACAAATCAGACGAAATAAAATGTCCATGCCTTAACGAAGATAGAGATTTAATTTTCCCTCATATCATAAGAACTCTAGGGGCTAGAAGTTCAGAGCCAGTGCAATCACTTAAGGATTCAGAACCAACATCTTTGTGATTTTCTTAACTTTTCCTTCATATTCAGTCACAGGATGACTGCTGCAGATCCAGCCAACACACCGTAAGTTCCTCCAGGAAAAAGAAAGGCGAACCAGAAAATGGTGGGTCTTACCTATTTTATGAAAATAAAGCTTTCTCAGAAGTCCTTAACCTTTGTCTTTTGGTCAAAACTGTATCACACGATCAGTTCCGGCAGCAAAAGAGGATGAGAAATGTAGTTTTTCACCTGGGCACACGGCTAGCCACCCCCTCCCCTCAACACCCCCTTCCCACCACGCACACAAAAGGAAAACCCATGTTCTTCTTAATAAGAAGAAGAATAGATGTTGGGTAGGCAGTATTTGCCATGTCAGCTCCTATGAGATCGACTCTGGGGAGGACAAAGCGGGAAGCCACTGGTCGCAG